CGATTTCTTATCTCACAGTACCTCCTGCAAACCGCCAAGTCGTCTTGTCTCTGGCCGAAAGTAAAACACCATCCGGTAATCCCGTGCAGCAGGGAACCAGCCCTGAGCTTCATGAACTCAGGAGGGCCCACCTCCGAATGCGTCTAGGAATCGTGGATAATTTCTACTGATGACTGGTAGATCCCTGCTGTACTTGCTCCCTGTGAGTTTATTCCTATTGTGTATTCTCTAATGACTTACATGATATAGCCGAACCCGTTGGAACAAGCGATGTAGTCGCCGCTCTGACACCCAGGGTGGCAGATCGGGTAGTTGCCGTCAAGATTGCCGGTACATGAATCCGGGGAACTGAGGCACGGGTTATTCAGGTAGCGTATAAAACTTGCTGAAATAAAATATAAAAAACAAGATCTGTATTTACTAACTATTATCGTTATCATTATAACCATCATAATCATCTACGTAATTACCATTATCACCATCACCATCATCATGACTACCACCACCATAATCATCATCATCCTTATCACCACCATCCTCATAATGACTACAACTACTATAATCATCATCATCCTTATCACCACCATCCTCATAATGACTACCACCACCATAATCATCAGCATCCTTATCATCACCATCCTCATAATGACTACCACCACCATAATCATCATCATCCTTATCATCACCATCCTCATAATGACTACCACTATCATAATCATCATCATCATCACTACAATCCTCATAATGACTACCACCACCATAATCATCATCGTCCTCATGACCACCATCCTCATAATCATCGTTATCATCATAACCACCGTCATTAACATCACTATCATCATCACCACTATCACCATCAACAATACCATCATCATCACAGACGTCAACATCTTCAAAATCATCACCGCCACCACCATTATCATCATCGTCGTCAATATCATCGCCATTATCATCACTCTTGTGATGTCACATAGGCTAGCTGTGAAGTCCTCCATTCCTTTCTATCTCATGCAGTCATTCTTTACTGTCTGTCTTTACTGCCGTTAAGTCGTGTAGGACAGGAGGGCACTGAGCCTGCAGATATAGGTCTTCATGGCTAATGTAGTCGCCCTCCAACAGTGCAGGTTAGAGTGTGTATGTATGTGTGTCCAACAGTGCAGGTTAGCATGTGTGTGTATGTGTGTGTCCAACGTGCAGGTTAGAATGTGTATGTGTGTGTCCAACAGTGCAGGTTAGAGTGTGTATGTGTGTGTCCAACAGTGCAGGTTAGAGTGTGTATGTGTGTGTCCAACAGTGCAGGTTAGAGTGTGTATGTGTGTGTCCAACAGTGCAGGTTAGCATGTGTATGTGTGTGTCCAACAGTGCAGGTTAGAGTGTGTATGTGTGTGTCCAACAGTGCAGGTTAGAGTGTGTATGTGTGTGTCCAACAGTGCAGGTTAGAGTGTGTATGTATGTGTCCAACAGTGCAGGTTAGAGTGTGTATGTGTGTGTCCAACAGTGCAGGTTAGAGTGTGTATGTGTGTGTCCAACAGTGCCGGTTAGAGTGTGTATGTGTGTGTCCAACAGTGCAGGTTAGAGTGTGTATGTGTGTGTCCAACAGTGCAGGTTAGCATGTGTATGTGTGTGTCCAACAGTGCAGGTTAGCATGTGTATGTGTGTGTCCAACAGTGCAGGTTAGAGTGTGTATGTGTGTGTCCAACAGAAGATGACTGAAATCCCATTATCGAGGATTCGAATCTGGGTCTTCTGCACGAGAGTCTAGCGGTGCGATCACTCAGCCAAACGTTCCTCGAAAATACAAGATGTATGCACTGAGTGAAATTTTTATGACATGTTTATAGCTTCACCGCAGTTAAATAATTTCACTTCTCTTGTGTGCTCCGTCCTCCCAGAACTACTGATGTAATGTCGTTCCCATCTAACTCGTCTGTATTGAGTGACGTTCAACTGCACCAGGACCACACATCTAGCCATAAACATCAGGTGGTACAAAATGCCACAATTCGGATGAGAATACCGCGGGCACGTCCCAGAAACCCCGTTCGACCGTAAGGTTATATTAGGGCCCGCGACGACATTCGGGTTAAAGCTTGAAAAAAAAAAAAATTGCGTCCCTCATTGGGGAATACTGAACAGTAAATCTGTGCTAATTTTTTTCCCCGTATCACCTTTTCGATTTTAATGTATTTTTGTTTGTGTTGTGGTATTGTACATTGATCTTATGTGCTGATGAAGACTCTCTACCTAAACGTTCACACGTTGTTTTTGTGTTTATGACAATATGAAGGTGACTGGTTTTACTTTTCGTTCAGCTAATATCTTTTCATGGTAGGATAATGCTAGAGACCTCTCATGTGAGCTGCTCTACCAGAAGCAAGCTGTTAGCAAGTCGATTCCCGCCAAATGTAAAATTAGGGAAAATAAACATCGACTTACCCGCTGGTAATATTTCTGACAGCAGTGCCAACGCCACCATGGTAACCAAATATCTAAGCGCCATGGTTTCTTTAAAAAGCTGGAAAGAGAATCTATTGCTGAATATTTGAATAACGAAACTTTATGTTGTAATCTCGTTGTTGTTGTTGCAGTTATTGTTTTGCAGTTGTTGTTGTTGCTGCTGCTGCTGAAAGAAGACAAAAAAATGTTTTTATGTTATTTGGTTGATATGTTATTTAATTCCTTGAGTACCGTAAAAGGATTAATAAAAAAAAAAAAAAAAAAATTTAAACCCCACCCCGGCTGCACTTCAGGTTACTTAGCAACACTCGTCGGGAATTCTAGTATAACCCTACGGTTGAACAGGGTTTCTATAGGAAATTGTCATCCGAATGTTGCCACTTCATGTCATTAGCTGTCTTCTTCTTCTTCTTCTTCACGTTCACCAGCTGTAAACTCCGGCGGAAAGTTCTGGTTGTTTATCCACTTCTGGACTGCAGTCCTGTTCCAGAACCTGAGTGTTGCGTGTGCTTCCGTTTTACAGATCTGACTCATTTGTATGCAGACTTCTGGTTCCTTGCCCCTAAGGCAGATGCACTCCAACTTTAAAGGAAGCTCCCAAGTAGTCGACTATTACGACATGCTTTTAGGTAAGCAGTAGGTTTATTCTTGTTTTCCCTAAAACAGGGCCCCGGAACCCACACGGGGAGCTAGCTGTTAATCGCTGGTTGTACGGCTTAGTGGGTCTAAGCGTCATTCAGTCACGCAAACTGAATTATTTTAGTCCCATGCAACGCCTGGCTTTGTCTCTTTATTTCACCAAGGAGCATAATGTGTATTTCGTGTATTTGGTCAGAACATACTAAAGAAATCTGGCTTTCCCAGAGTGTCACTATGGCTGTGTCTATTGCCAATTTGAATGTAAATAATTAAAGCTAACCAAATCATTGCCACTTAACAAACATGTCGTAAATGCGACTTTTTAAACATTTGCAGAAATGTGATGTGGTCGCTGAGCGGCGCAGATATCACACTCTAGCTGTAAACCGTAACACAATGTATAACTATCACCTGAAGCCCGATCGCGTCAGCAGCAAAAGCAGATTATGGGAATAACAATTAAATTATTGAGCAGCTGAAAATGAGACGGTTTGTTCGTCGCGTTATAATGGAGCCACAACAATTACCCACGCCTCTACATTGATCTGAGATGAGCGCCCAAACAGAAGATTTACTGATGATATTCCAGGTATTATACATCTACCCGAAATGACAACAGCCGGTGCTACATATCACAGAGCAGATATTATGATTCTTCCAGGATAATTTTACTGATTAGCTGCAATAAAATTGAATGTATATGACAAGATTGAGTACGATTGAATGTATGAAAAACTAGAATAGCAATGAGGCTATGATAAGATGAGATAGTAACAATGAAATGATAAGATGAGACACCAATGAAGATATGACAAAATGGGATATTTGTAAACATATGTTAAGATAGCAACTTATAAAGATACCATACGTTTGGACACGATATAACAAGGTACCATTACAAGTACGTCAAGATTAGATACTAGTAAAGATATAATAAGATAAAAAAAAAAAAAAGTTGTGTATCCTTTACAGTAGGGCGTTGCAAAACCAACCCCAGCATGTTTTGGTTGTTGTGGTTTTTCTTTTCAAAATTACGTTCAGTAGTTTACCATTGCTCCTGTACGGTCGAAACTAATGCGCTTGCAGGTGGGATCAAACCGGCATTACGAAGCGCGTTCGCAACGCCTAAACCACAGACGCCGTCACGACAAGATAGGATGCTAATAAAATATAAAATGAGATGCCACAAAGATATACTAAGATAATATATCTACAAAGATATGATAATATAAGAAAACAACACAAATAGGTTACTTTGAGATACCAAAACTGATATAATAAGACAAAGAACTAATAAAGATGTGGAATAAAATGAGATACCAATAAAAGTATTATCAGAAAGAATTTGGGATAGGTTAAGCTCGTTTGTTAGAGTTTAGTGAATGACATGAACGCTTACCAACTGCTTAAAGCGACACTGGCAGAAAATTTTGAAACAAAATATATATATATACCGCGTATCCTGGACAAAAACACCACACCTTAGATGGCAAAGGAGAAAGATATCCATGTTTACCTTTCTTTGTACTATGTGAGAGAAAGGTGAGACACCGTCAAGACGAGGATTTAACAAAAAATACCTCTTAATGTTATTTAACCCACGTAATAGAATTCAGACTTACAAACATAATCAATTGAATGACTGCTAGTACAATTGAAAACTCCCTGAACAGGGATTGCCTAGAAGGCACGTAATTGAAATGGGAGAATTTTGATTATGCGGAAAAGAGTACACAAATAGTTTGAAACAATGTACCAGTGGGGCGTGAAAGTCTGCATGGAGGTAACATAGATTCAGGAGGATCTGTTGGGATCAATGGAGACTTCTGGAAAAAACTTCATGTTACGTGTTAGAAAAACTTACATTGGGAATTTATGACGTTGCAGGAGATTTTTAACCATACAGAGATGGTTGTATACAAAGGTGGTTAGATTCAAATGTGGTTCTATACAGAGTTGATTTCATACAGAGGTGCTTAACCTGGTTGGCTAGATTTCTTGGGGCACTTCCTCCCCTAGACCAGGAAATGTATGACGAGGCAGATCCCTACGTATTTATTTAACGTACCTAAACATTTCATGAATGTTTAGATGTTCATTATAATAAAGTGATTTGTCGGATAGTTATAATAATTGTATAGTTTTACTTACTGAGCCCATACCCGCTGTGTTCTTCGGGTGGTTGAAGCTCCTGCTTTTATAAAGTATTTAGTCGTACGCACGTCTAGGATTTTTTTTTCTATCCAACGTAAACTTCAGCTGCCTACGTGACCAGTTTCATGGTTATCAAATATCGTTCTCGACGTCATTATCATCATCATCACAGAATATCAAGCAAATGATAAATAGAACTAGTCAGCTTTACATTATCACAAACGACAAGTACAACTAATCACCATCATCATAATCCTGTAACACTACGTGTCGTTGGGTCACCAGTTTCTGTTGACTGTTGACAGCTCTCTCCACATTTAGCGGTCAGGTTTGATGGACTACATGGTTTCATCAATGAGGTCTGCCCAGTAAGTCTGGTTCTGTAAACAGGTCTTCCTTGGTCTGCCTCTTCTTCTCTTTTTTCTTTACTGAACCCAGCAGTATTGTTTTTGAGAGGCAGTTAGATCTTTTTACATGTCCATACCGTTGCATATTTCGTCTTTTCACTGTAGTTAAAAGAGGTCCATAGTTGCCAGTGTGCTGTATAATTTTATGGCCAACCTCGTCGTTTGTAATGTGGCCTCTCTATGATATGCCAAGATTTTTTTTAAACATTGCATTTCTAATGCTTGTCTCTTTCTTTCAAGTTCAGCTGTTAAGGTCGACGTTTCACAGCCAAATGTAAATGTACTAATAACTAGTGATTAGTGATTAGAGAGGAATATCATCACAGCACTCCGGACAGACCCATAGATGCTCTGATCTCCTCCACAAGTGTAAAACGACTGATGACGCCTGTTCTGTGTTATTTAATGAAACGTCTTGTCCCCTTAGTGAAATGTTCATTTCTTGCAGCTGCAGTCTGCACCCCTATGTCCATCAGTCTAGACAGGGATACGAGTCATGTCCTTTGGGGTGCTCCTTCGCACAGTAAGTGCATGGCATTGATAACATCACGTCTATCCAGTACTGGACCAGCCATAGTAACCGCAGTGTCATCAAGATAGTCTGCACGCTCGTTCTCTTGAACACCCTCATTCCTTGGCACAAAGATAAAGGTTAGTTCAGCTATTCGCGAAGTGCGTAGTGTTGCAGTCCATTCTTACCTGGTGAATCCAGATTGGATTTTTTGGGGGAGCATATTAATCGAGTCACAAAAATGCATACGTGTGTGAACTTTTGAGTAAAAAGCCTTGCTAATGCCCGGGTTACAGCCATGGTTTCCATTATATGGCTACAAGTTGTAACAGCAAAGGCGCCATTTATCTCCTTGATGGGTTCCCCCCTTGAGGTTACTGTGAATGCCCATGCACTTCGTTTGCCACGAATTACCCGTGTAAACTATAGCATCAACTTCATCTGTGTTTTCGTCAATCAGTGTTTTGACTAAAGTGTCAACAATGCCAGAAATCTGCTCTCTACAGCTTTCATCAAGTGTGATGTGGACTGTAATATTAATGTTTGGAGAAGGAGGCATAATTATCTATTCAATTCCAAAATTAATGTCATTAAGGCGGCCAACATGTTCGATGGCATCCTCAGCCCGACCTATATAGGATTTGCCTACTCTACAAGGACAACTCTACTCTTTAATTTGCTTAAAAAACTCATTATAAATAGGGTTTCGGTGGTCTGACTTCACTTTGAGGAAAGCAACAGCCCTGGATAGCTTGATTCTGTTTTTCATTGTTGGGAAATCCAAGAGGTATCGCACAGATTTATAAGAGGTGTCTCTAGTGCATCCAAGAATAATACGCATTGCATTATTAAATTTTTTTTTCCAGTCTGTTCATCTGTGTGGTGCTGAGTGTCATGATGACCAAGGCATATTCAATGGTGGAGAGAACTATCGCACGATAGAACATTACAAGTAGTCGTTGCTCAAAGTTTGCAGCTCCCATACTTTTATTGCGGAGAGACCTTTCTTGGCGTTGGTTATAATGTGGTCTATGTGTTTTTAAAATGCTAAGCATATGTCAAATGTTATACCCAGTTATTTCATGGAATCAGATCTCTCCACGTCAGCGCCGGAGAGTTTTACTATCGGCACTGTTGTTTTGGAAAGTTGATTATTTAATGAGAACCAGGTGACTGTCGCCTGTGATGGATTAATTGTTGCCACTGAGGTGTTGCACCAGGATGGTATGGGATCTAATTCCTGTTGTAGATCCGAAACAATGTCACCTCGGTTCCGGCCCTGTCGGTACACAATGATGTCATCTGCATATGACAGAGTTCTTCTTCTGCACT